GCGACTGCAATTTGACCCGGGAGCCTCGTATTTTCAATTAATGTTTCCTTCAAACGAACTAGTGTGATCAACGGAATGTTCCACATTTCAACAGAATAAAGAATAATTCGTCGTTTGCTGATAGTATATATATTGAAAAAAATTAAGTAATTGCGACAAATGATGATGATTTATATATAAACAATCAGAAAATTCCGTATTTCGTTACAGCGATATTTGTCGGGTTATACGTTTCGAAAGATATTGTTGAAAATCTGATTCCATATTATATGAAATATCTATATCTAAATATAATGGAGCATTTCAAATTCAATTTAGAGACACGCTGCAATCAGATCTCGCTATATCGCCATTTCAAGCTACATACCTTTACCTTTTATATAGTTACGAAATTTAAGGTTATATAATAATGTAAAAGACGACAAGGCTGCATGAGAGCACTATTATGTATCATTATAATAGATGCTGCAAACATGATAGGAGACATAAGGCATGCTCGCTTCACTTAATGTAGCTAGCTGCTGTCATTATCGTGCACTAACTGCTCATTATATCGTAATAAGCGCCCAATACACCCGCGTGTGTTGTATGTATTCACGCGGAAACGGGTCGCGAACTAATGCGAACCCATTCGACATAATTACGCTACCTGTTACGTGGAAAGCGTAAGCTCGTAGCCGACATCACATTGTACTTCGATTCGACTAATCGTGGAAGATGAATCCGGCGTCGATAGTACCGCGGAGACTTACGTTTAGCAGATAATTTCGAAGGTTCCATTAAATTTTATCAATTTTTTAAAGCTATAGATAGTGGAAGATAATTTTTTTTACAGCCGTTTCTCGCTTTTTTAAGGAAAATCGATTGATATTTCCAATATCGTTTTTAATTTTCTATCTTTGTGTTATTAATTCGCCGGCTGCAATCATATTTTCATTCTCTATCTGCGTCCGGATCTTTTTTGTCTAATCCAAGTTTTTTTTTACTATTATAGACTCAAAAAATATGGGAGGTTGAGAATTACTTTTCAATATCTCTACATTGGGAAAAAATGTACTAAATTTTAATAAATATTTATTTGAATAGTATCAATTTAATTTAACATTTATTTACAGTAAACATTCGCGAAATAAAAAAATGATAGTTAAATTAATGATTTTTATAGCAAGTAAATATATGTTTATATTTAGTAAATATTCAGCTAGTATTATCAAATATTTGTTAAAATTTAATTTTTCCCTCAGTGTATTACAAGATATTTATAAGATATTTTAGAAAAGAAAACAGATTCTGTTCTCCTTTATTTACAAGAAATTCGAGAGTGAAATTTTGCTTGTGTCAACAAAGCCCTAAAAATGCAGATGATGAGTTAATCAATAACATAGCCAAATTAAAAATTAATTTTTTTATCTATCATTTTTTTTATCTATGTATTTGATGATGAATTTGAGAATAAGTATTAATATATAATAATACTATTTTTATCATTTAGCTCGATTACGATTAAATATTTTACACTATACAAGAAACATTTAACGTTATTTTGATTAAATATTTGGTGAATGCACCGCTTGAAACTGGTTTTAATCATTGCATTTTAAATTATTCTACGACTATGTCGTTTGCAGGACCATACAAAATTATTTCATGTGAATGGAAATACGCACGTAGAATTTAAAAAAAATTTTTAATAAAATTTATAAACTTAGCGATCGAATCGTAATGATATTGTGAAACAAACTGAGAATCGATATCATTCTAGGAAAAATAAAACTGAAGCTTCATACTTTACATATGGAAAATTTCAACGGAATGCCATTGCAAAAAAAAAAACAAAATTTAACCCGCGAATGTTATTGCATATTAAATGATATGCTATTGACATGTAAATTTCACGTATAAGATCATTTTTAATGTATTGGGTTGTGCCGACTAATTTATATAATTTAATAAATGTATACTAAAATTTAAATTTTCTGCATTTCAATTTTCCTTCAACATCGGCACGAACTTTCCAGACAACCCAATAACACAAATTTCTCATACACTTCACACTTTTAATGATTTAATATTTATATAAATATTAATTCTAAATATAAATACAATAATTTATTTATTAACTTAAAAAGAAAGAATTATAAAATCTAATCTTAAAATAATATGAAGTAGATATGTAGTTTAATTGTGTGTGTGTGTATGTGTGTGTGTGTGTGTCTTCTCATACACTTAAATAAAATATATGATAACACAAAACACTGCTTAAAAATTAAAGCACGCTTTCTGTTATAATACCGACCATTAGGGAATCCAAACTGACAGAACGGACAGAATTTAAAAAAATAGAATTTTTTGTCTCCACTTGTCCTTTTTTGACATGGCAGATCAGACTTCGTAATGATTAAAAACATAGTTTAGCGACCTTACTTACATCTACATAAAATTTACGTATCAATAATATTCTAGAATTAAATAACATAAACCGAATCTCGCAATGTTGATTCTCAATATTTTATTTACGTTGATTACATCCTAAGAAAAACAGTGAAAGAGAAAGAGAGGGGAGTGTGTTTGTAATGACGAGACGTTCCGCGTAGCGCGAAATACCTATCTAACTCTTCTCTCGAAGTCATTCATATTCATGGAAGTCATTAAACGCGATTTCCAAAGGTAGCCTAGTTGATGAGTACGAGATCGCACTGGCGGACTTTTCTCAGTGAGATTAGATCAACGGAACAAATATTTGAGAGATCTCGTTGCGGCGAGACTCTGTCTTTGCATCCTCTCTCTTCATCCTCCGTGCTCTTCGATATCCACTCCGTATGAAATCCTGCTCGTCCGTAAAACGAAACTTCGCCATCTAAGTTTTCGAGTCTTAACATCGATTCGAGGGGAATCGACTCTCGGTGCGGTCCGAGAATAAATCGCGCCACGTTTATAAATGCTTCATGACTTTCGGAGTTTCGTCGTCTGTTCAGTGTCTGTCAAATAAATAATTCCTCTGCGGGATTGGGATCTGTGAAATTTGCACATTTTATATTAATATAAAAAAATAATTACAATCCATTAGTACTTTTCATTGTTCTACAGTTGTACATAAAAATAATTATACCAAAAATCAAAAATGAAAGTATATAATCCGTATTAGACTACCGACTCTGTAAGCCGACCCGATTGCTAACCAATAATGAACCAAGTACAATAAGACTGATTCAATGTGATTGATCCATTATTGGTCGGCAGTCAGAGTTAGCAGTTAGGTCGATTTGCAGAGTCGGTAGTCTGATACGGGCTTATGTTAACTTTGCGAATCTGGCACATCCTTCTCTAAAGTAGAAAAAAACATTATCACTTTATAAATATTATCACTTTTCCAATTTGAAAACGAAATTCCAACAATTATTAATTTTTTATACACTTTGAATATTAAATACAGCATTTGGAGATAAAATGTCGTACTGATTATTTATCGCATTTCTAGCGACATTATTCTATTTCTTTGTTTTCTGTCGTCTAAGAGGAAAGTTGATGAACTTTGGAAGATACGTGACAAGAAAACGAGGAAAGAAAAAAGTAAACAATAGAAAAAAACAACACATTGTATTATAGATTAGCTTTAAAAATCGAAAATGAAATGAAAAGGATAATTGATTATGTTAAGAAATTTTTTTGCCGATATTACTTGATTACTCAATAATCTTCTATCAAATTGAAAAATTTTTCAAGAAACTTTTTCTAAGAAACTGAATTTTTGAGTTACGTCACTTTTGAACTGAGAGATATATGTAACGTGATGTCAAATAAATGTCGAGTAAGATCAGTGCGATAGCATCTGTCCGTTGCCATTCTAACATCGAATATTGGATTTCAGTACTTACCGATTTAGTGGCAATAGACATTTGGAAATCCGCGGTGAGCACATTGTTGTCAAGCTCGGTAGCCTAATTAATGCAATCTGCAGACGATCCGGCTTACGTTTACCTTGTTTGGCGCTGTCGAGATACGTAAACTCGCAGCAGAGTTACCGCCCTTGAGACTTTGTGGCGTTCGATACACGTTTCGACGCTGTCAAATCGCTGTCAAATTATAATTCAATTCCAAGTTCAGATTATCGGTTATTCCTCTCTCTTTTAGACACCAAGATATCTTGTAATCGAGGAGTTATCAAAGTGGCAATGTAAATCCGCTGTGACAGTGATTCCGCAAAATCAAAATTAAATGTTAAGGAGATTCTAAAGCAAATGCCAAACTTTAACAATGTAAAACAAATTTTAATTTCTCTTTCAAACTAAAAATATCGATAATAGTGATTTTTAATTCTCTTTCTTACATTATCATTTTATCTTATTCAAACTGTTCTTATCTAATATACTGCATGTAGCGCTACATCTTGCAAGATCCAGCATCAATATTGCTCTATTTACTTATAAAACATAATTCTTTTTTTCTAAACTTAATCTTAATTCCATTATGACAGTATCCGCGTACGATATTATATATATCTCTATGGCGAAATCACTTTATCTTGTATCACTCTATCATGTATAAATTATATAGAATCTTTATATTAAGCAGATATTGTCGTCGAAAGACAAGTCGATATTTGCAATAGCTATTTTTGTCCGTATTTTAATTTTTATGTAGAAGAATTTAGCAATTCTATAAAGATGATTCGAAGCTGTTTTAGAATTACGAAATGTCAATAATTTGTTTTACTTTAAGATCTCACTAAAAATGACATACTGATGCGATCGATGTAAATGAAGCCGTCATGATTAACCAGGACCAATCAGCACTACATAAATTTTGCGTGTAACGTATAATGGCCAACTAAACCTCCGAATAGAATACGATCCAAACTGACTGACCAACCCATTGTGAATTCGGTAAAGCCGACAATGGCCCATACAATTACGCTGAAAATTACGCTGCGTTTGCGTCAGTCGATGTGCTATCAGTTAATTCCTTGAACTAATTCGATCAATGTTGACTTGTTGTTCCAGCTGGACAGGTTCAAAGAGCCGCCGGCGTTCGGGCCAATGTGTGATCTCCTCTGGTCGGATCCTCTCGAGGATTTCGGCAACGAGAAGAACGCGGAGCACTTTTCTCACAATAGTGTCAGGGGTTGTTCATACTTTTACAGGTGAGTGTCCGTTTCAACCTGTTTTTAAATTCTTTTAACTTGTTAAATTACTGGTAACATACGTAATAAAATTCTAACGACTAAGAAAATTTGGACGTACATAATTGGATTTTTCTAACTTATTTCAATATTATATATACAGTTTTAATTATATTCTATGAATGGATATTTTTTTAATTTTTCTGAAGTGGAGAAAACCACTGTAGATTAAATATCATACAATAAAAAACGGTTTTGCTAAGGTACCTAAAAATTTGGCTAAATATAGATTTGAAAATAGTTTTATTAAATCATCAAAATAATTATATAAAATTCTTAAACGTCAATGCTGCAAAAAGATTCAATATTCCAACGATCAACTTGAACGTCCTATATATCCAATCTCGAATTAAAACTTTATTAATAAAATCTATTCTAAGCTAACTGAAACAATATGATAAATGACTGATCATATTATGATATCTTTTTTGTCTCTGAACTCTTTTCAGAAAACTTATTTTCAGAAGACTACTCCTATAAAATATGTAATTAATGTTTAAATTAAGTCGAACAATTGACAAAAGAAATTTAAAAAACATGTATACAACAGCTTTTTCTTTTCAAAAGTATTTTATTTATCAGTTATAACAAACAAAATTATCTGGGTTGAAATAACGATATTTCATTAAGCCATACTGCCAATAAAAAAAAAGTATTTAAAAAGGATCCAATAAAATTGGAAATATCAGAAAATGCAATTACAATACTTTTCGTCGCGGTCGTCGATATATCGAAGGGACACGTCGATATCACAGTGTGTTAACGTAATAATAAAGGACATATTAGCGGAGAAAAAAAAACGAGGTCAACACCTCATCACTACTCGGTAGTAGTTGGAGTTCTTTTTACCGTAGAAATACGATATGCTTGTGCGATACATCTCGCGGCTGTCGCCGGCCGGTTCTCGTTTTTCCTTTCTAGCCAATCCGTTAACTCCCTCTAACGGGTAATTATCTCGCCGTCTGTTTGCGAGCAGTACAGCCGGAAACGCGTTGGCCACATCCCTCGCACGATCACACAGCGTGAAACGAGGTAACTTTGGCTCCTCCGACCCTTCTGTATCTGAGAGATTTTCCTTCTCCACCAAATCTTCCTACAAACGTCACGTTCAGTCCCTCGTCGCGTCGCTCTTTGTCAGCGTTCGCGGACACACTCATGGTTTGCCCCGTGCGAGGATTAATAACGACTGTGTTATACGACGATGTCAGCAAACCGCAGACATGACAGCTCCTCTCGCGGATCTGCTAATTATACAAACGGCCACGCTAATGAGAACTGAGATTCGTTAAGTGTCAGCTGTTTCACGTACTCGTTGTTACGTATTCGTTCATCGTTTACGTTGACGAAGTAAATTGTAATAGATTAAATTTTGGAAAAACGCGTTTTATATTTCTCCACGAACTTATGCGATCTTCAGTAACAAATTAGTATTAAATATCTTTCTTATTCCTGATTGTTGCCAAAAGTTGGCGCAACAAAAAGAGTAATGAAAAATATGCGTTTCACTCGATTCGATCATTAATTGTTATCTTATTTATTGGTAACTGCAACACAATCTGATATCAATTTCTACACACAAGTTTTTTTTATTAACCAAACTTAGAAGCTTTAAAATAGTTTGTAACGCACAGTGAAAAAAGTTTCTAATTGAAAATGATCAAATCAGAAGATTTCAGCCATATCTCAATCAGAATTCTTATTATTTAAATAGAATTATAATAGAGTCAATTAGAAAATTCTGATTTGTTCATTCCAATTGATGCAATCAATTTCTTTTTCCAAAAAATGTACAATTATCATTAATTCTTTTGTTTAAAAAAAAATAGAAAAATGATATTTTATCTGTACATTCTTTCATTGGCTGTTTAATGAGTTAAGAAATAAAATGATTATACTAATTATATGCATTGAATGAAAGCATTTAGGAAATTTTAATGACTCACAGTTGTAAGACATTTCGGAGTAACAAGTAATACAAAATAAGTTAATTTAAGCCTCCTTGTACAATCTTAAAAATCGAGATTTCAGATGGAGAAGAAATTAATATATTGCATTCGATCATTGATGAATGCAATTAATAAATTCTTTGCAGCATTTTTTAATAAATAATAAATTCTCTAGATCTCAAAGCGATTTCTGGCATCGTGGAAAAGGCTTTGAAAAATAAGGTTGTCGTAAATGTACACGTCGAGAGATACCGCCAAATTATTGTTCCTCTATCACATTTTTAATATTACAAAAAATTCTGTTAAGTTGTTTTAACTGTTGTAGTTTTATACTTGACATGGCGCTTCCTGACAGCTTTTTCAAAATATGAATTAATTATAACGGAATTAATTATAGTGTAAATAACAGAGTATTTTATTACAAAATTTAAAAGTCTTTAAATCACTACATACAGTGTACTACACATATATATATATATATAATAAGAATAAATCAAAATATCTGTTTTTTTCTATTATACTTTTTATTAATATTTACTAATAATTTGTCAGTTATATTAGTTTATAATTAATATTATTTTAAACTTTAATTATTAAGTCTTTAATTTTTAATTTAAATTTTTTAATATTATGTTTTTACTGACTTGTTTTTATTTTAACTTTTATTTTCTATATTTCTCTATAATTTAATGTTAACGCGACACGTCAAAGAATCATGCATGGAAAGAATGCTTTTGCTGAAGTATCTAAAAAATAACTTTATTTGATCATTAAAATAATTATGTAGGAAACTCAAGCAAGACAAACGATGCTGCAAATAATTTTGACATTTTAATAGTCAGTTTGAGCGTTCTACATAATTATTTTGAAAGATCAACAAAATTATTTTCAGATCTGCATCTAGTTAATTTTTTTAGATATTTTATATCTAAAATAGCCAACCGTGTACGTGTCGGGTATTTCTCGAGTAACAATGGCAGGAATGTTAGAAAGCTGATTTATTGAGGTGATTTTCATAATCAAGTTGTTCATTGATATATACGTGAATGTGGTACAGGCAATCGTGATCACGATAAAATAATAGTGGCCGTTATGAAGACATTTTAGATAGCACCAGTCCGTTAATCCCTTATTTTCGATTCTCGCATTATCGTGTCTCGTTCCTGGATAGATAAGTGCATTAAGTTTCACGCGAACATAAATCACATCTCGCGTCTCGAGCAGTATGCAAGTAGTCCGGCTGTAATCACCAACGGTCGTTCGACTACACCGCGATTCGTACCACTCACCCTTCCTCCCTTCAACGTCTGACTCGTAATGAAGCTGCTGATTACTCCCTGCCATCCTTTAATGATTCGAAGTGGCTGTACATTGTTACAACGAGAAAACGGAACACATCTTGTGCATTGCAATATAACGTCCTGTCGTTAAATAAATCATCTTATCGTCGCACTCAGGATGTGTGCGAATTATCGAAGATACAACGACCTAGAGATCGATACTGGGCCACATTGGCGAGCGGCACGGTTTTCGAGAGATTTCACCTCGTCATTAATCTCTGTCGGCGCTATGAACGGGTCTTAATGGCCGTTAACGACCATGCCGCGACGTGGCGCAAACATTTCTCACGATTCTTGGCCGAGTCAATTATGTCATTGCGAAAAGGGTCGTCCTGTTGACGTTTTCGGCGGCATAATTTGTTTATGTGAATCCGAAAGTCGGTACGCCAATAATGTCCGTCATCCATTGTACGATTGGCAGGAATGGATGGACATTAAAAGCTACATCGCATAAAAGACTCGAATACCTCTAACTTGCAGCGAACGTAGCAGTCTGATGCCGAAGCTTCGAGTAATCTCAGAAATTAACTCGACTACAATATTTAGAACACTCCAATTTTGTAAATTCACAGAATTGCATACAAAAAGTTGTACGAGTCGTTTTCGACAAGTTAAGATTGATCATTTGGCGCCTGTGCAATTGTTTCCAATGCATGTGCCAAAAGCGCGTTACGACGTTAATCTAGGTCACGATTTTAAGATACACGAATTTCCCGACATGAATATTCGCGCGTCAGTGGCTGCCTCACGAACGCTTATGAAACTTATACGCTTCAAAGGAGAATATTAAGTTTTCGCTGTTTTCGGCTAAAATGAAAAAGTTCCATAGTGTACAAATTATATATCATACTAAAGAGCTACTTAAACTAGGATATTTTTATACTCCAAAGGCGAAAAATGTCGAAAGTTCATTGTTTTAGATATCAAAGGAACAATGGAATCAAAAACCTCTTGAGTTAAATAACATTTTGTTATTTTTAACTCTATTGTTTTAGTCCAATTATTAGGAACATAGGTAGGTGACTTATAGAAATTATTAAAAATAACTCGGACTTTCTGTCGCATCATCAATTGCTTAAGAATTGCCAAGTTATTTAAGTAATAATACAATTCTTGTTGCTTAATTCCCGGGATGTCTTGATGTCCCACTCAACAACTTTTTATTAGTAAATGTAATAGAGTTAAATTTATTATTTTTTGTCACGATTTCTCTCATATTTCCTGATGTTTCCCCGAAGATAAACGATAAACTCAATTTCGCTTAAATAATATGTTAATTATTGAACTATTAATTATAATTAATATGCTACACATACAATTTGCACATTATAGAACTTCTTCAGATGAAAAACTTAATGTCTTCCTTTTATTACGGAATTTATTAAGAAAGTTTTTTTAAATGTTAAAAATTTTGGCGTTCTATTAAAATGTTTAAAGGCCGAGTCATTTACGCTACCACGGCAATTTCCATGTTATTCATTAGTGCTAAATAGATTTAATAATATAAGCAAATTAACGTGCCCGCTCGTACGCTCGGATAATTCTCTTAACAGTAATTATCGACAATCAAGCTCTCTCCCAATCTTTAAGCGATCGATCGATAATGTCTGCTTGCAGTTACGCGGCGTGTTGCGACTTTCTGCAAAACAACAATTTGCTCAGCATCATAAGGGCGCATGAGGCTCAAGACGCCGGATATCGCATGTATCGAAAGTCTCAGACGACGGGCTTCCCGTCGCTCATCACCATCTTTAGCGCGCCCAACTATCTCGACGTGTACAACAACAAGGTAAAAGCCAATAGCGCACGAATCGCATCGCGCCAGTCGCAATGATCGTAAACTTCGACATTAATTTAATGTCACACATTTATGATCAGTGCGGGGTGCGTCGTTGTTCGTTTTATGACCTGTAGACCGCTGGTCTGCAATCGTAAAGATGTGCTCGTTGTGCTCGCAGGCAGCGGTTTTAAAGTACGAGAACAACGTGATGAATATCAGGCAGTTCAATTGCTCGCCACACCCATACTGGTTGCCCAATTTCATGGATGTTTTCACATGGTCCCTACCGTTTGTCGGTGAGAAAGGTAAGACCAACAAAACGAGCTTTGCTGTTAAAAATTATTTTATACTGTTAAAAAAAAAGTAATTATATAAAAATTATATTAAATTATATGTCTAAAAGTTACATAATTTTATACTGGAAATGTATAAAATTGTTCATTTTTATAAAAATTAAACTTTTAATTCTAGTTATATAAATATCTTTATATTAGACACAAAAATAACAGTACATTTTATAGTTTTTATGTATAAACTTTTGTAATGTATATTTCCACATTTTATATCTTGCTTAGTAAAGAGTTCTCTAATGTTCATAAATCAATTTATATATTTAGAAGAAAAAATATGAAAAAAATATTTATGTAATAATTTAGATGGAAAAGAGATACATATATATCTTGATTTTTTTAAATGAAGTATTTCGAGATAATTTGTTTAGTCGATTGCAAGATGTGTTTTACTTGGAATTTAATGGATAATTTTTTATTTTATCTTTCAGTCACAGAAATGTTGGTGAACGTGCTGAACATTTGCTCGGACGACGAGCTGATGAGCGACGGTGATGACGCGCTCGAGGAAGGTAATGTCTATCACTTAGCTCTTATTTCTCACCTTAATCCGTATACACACTATTACTTTGCAGATGTTTCGAACAAGATCGGCTCTCAGACTGGTCGCTCTTATATCGTGATCAGAGTCTCTCTTCTTTTATCCTTTTTACTTCGGGGTTATTCTTGAGTTTTACGGTGTCCGAGTTTTACTTATCTACTACAAAATCGTGCAAAGAATCACGAAACGAGAATTATCGCGTTTATTAAATACGCGACAGAAACACTCGTTCTCATCTCAATCATCTCGCAGAAATCAGAAAAACGTTTATTTATTTAGAAATCTGCGATTATGCAATCGCATGAAAATAATCGTGCACTCTAAAAGTCAGTGTGGATTTAACATAGCGTGATCTCTAGAAAACAACAATGTAAAATCAATTAATTTATTAATCATTTTTACTGATATATAATCAAAGTTGATATATAATCAAAGTTGAATACTTATTTATATAATTCTAATCGTGTTACATTAACATTTATGTAGATTTAAAACCTACGGTATTAAATACATCTACATGTTGGTGTTAATACAATATTAACACGATAAGAACTAATAAGAAAAATTGTTTATTCGGATTCAAAGCGGATTTTAGTACTTAAATATTTCTATATGTGAATTTATATATCTGATTCTGTAAATCGCTCGTTGAAATCTTTTTTGATCTTGAAATTATGAGTAGAATTATGAGTAGAATCAGAATAAATAATCAAATAAATAATACCTATTAAATTGACAATTAATTTAATAATTTTTATGTTAATAAGCATATTCTTATAAAAATATTATATAATCTGATAATGAAAATCAGTCTTTGAATTCATTGCAAAAAATTATTGTATATAGACACCGTATGGTGTTAAATCCAAATCGATATTTTTAGAGTGTGAAGAAGATGTGTTTTTTCCTTCGATCAGGTTCTCGATTAAATCTCATCTTCGGTTCATTTCATTTCGAGCACTCAGATAGCCGCGACGATTTCAATCTTATCCGTCACTTCGAGGACAGCCGGACGAACGAATGCACGATAAGACGAGCCAGAGAGATGTCGTTAATATCTGGAATCTCTTACAAGCTCCGACACGATCTAAGAGAGGCCACGTCATCTTCGTGCACGGGGAGAATGCGTGGATTCATCCCTCATGTCCTGCTGAACCGATAGAAAAGAGTTGGACACAATTTAACGATGAAAAATGAATCGGGATTCCCCTGCCCCTCCCTCGTTCTATGAATCGTCGCATTCTCCGCCAAAAAGGAAGATCGATCATGCACGTGCGCCCGGATTGGATAACGGTGAGCGCGAATTTTGCGAAGAATTGCTCGACTGTTCATTTTCATCGCATCGATGAAAGTTGAAACATGCCGTTAATTTTTCGTTCAATCGCTTTTAATTTAACGCGATTTTGAACGAAAGCGGCGAAGCTTCAGCGTGTTTTTTTTTTTTTTTTTTTTTTTTTTTAGTTCGCCTAGCAAATTTCACGCGCACGATCGATCCGCCAATTAACTTCTATCGTCAATTTTTTCGATCGTTCGATTTCGACGGCGAATTCTACGTATTCTAAATATTCTTATGGATATCCCTACGATTCACATGATTAAATTGTTTACGGACCTCTCTTAAATAAAATTCATCTTCTCAAGCGAAAGTTAAAAAAAAAAAGATTGGCGCGCAGTTTCCCGAATATTCATCGAAAGAATAATTTGTTGATTTGAAAAAAAAATATATGTCTCTATCATCTCATCTCCCCCACGATCTCACTCTTGTAACTTCCAGAGACAAATCTTGAATTCTCTTTCTGTTTGCATTTTCACTCGCTGCACGGACAGATGGTAAGAAACGCCGCTCGATTCTTCTAGACGTCACACGATTAAGAGCTTCATTGATTATCATTAATTTTTTAGCTATTTTCATAGTAGTTTCTCGATGTCGAGTTTCTCTTTCTCTCTGTTTCTCTATCTATCTCTCTTTCTCTTCCTCCGTATTTTTCTTTCTTTATTATCGTTTTCTCTTTTTTTTCCTCTTTATCCGTAATGTCGTGTTCATCGGAAGGAGAAGAACGTATGTACGTTCGCGTCTATCTCTTTCTTCTCTCTTTTCTTCTTTATCTTCCGTTCTGTATGATATCCATGCGCGTAATATATATGTGTGTGTACATATATATAATATATATATATACATATTTACTATTTTTCTATATATATTTTTTCTCTTTATCTTTGACCATCTGTTTCACGGTATTCACAATTTCTTGCATCGAGGTACGAGATTCTTTTTCTTTTCTTTTTTTCTTTCTCTCTCTCTCTCTCTCTCTCTTTCTCTCTCTCCGTATCTGCTCCATATCTGCTCTTCTTGGCATTTTTATTTTCACTTCCCGATTATGTATAAACATGTATGTGTGTAATATTCAACGTGTCTCGACGGCACATATAGCCTGGATTTTTACATCTTCAACGGTAGACTTTGATTTTCTGCATCATTATACTCATAGCATCTTCACCCTGTCTCCATACGTTTGTTCAAGATGGCACGATCCTTTTGCTTGTTTCTCAAAGCACGTATGTAAGTATTTCGCGAGGGTCTTGAGCTTTACGAGTTCAAAATACTTTTTCAGCTCGAAGCTTAATCGGGCTGAAAAATTCATCATTTTGCCATCTTGCGCATCGCGCGTTAATTTAATTCACGCATGTATCGCAGCGATCGGGTAAAATAACGCTATAAAATCGTCATTCCACCTCGTCTTAATTATTTTTCAAAGTTACTCGGGATCTCCAGATCGATATATTTTATTTGTCATTTCGTTTTGCTCCGATCGACTCTACCACTCTGTCCGAGTTCCATAGTCAGTTTCAATTTCACGTGTGTCAATTTCATGTCCATCCCACCCCCGCTGGCCTATTCTGTTACTTTCTTTTTCTTTCTCGTATATTTCACACATGTGTATGTATAATCACTCTGCCCCTACGTACGGAAAACTAAAAGAAAAAATTAAAATCTTTTCCGGCGGATGGAGCCTTGCAACCTGTAATAATCGTGAACTTTTTTTTTCTTCGTCGGGATTTGAATTTTTGTGGCGTTTTGAATAAATCATCGTCGTCGAGTCCTCAAAATTAAAGACGTATATATTTTTTTACAACGTCCAAGATATCGATCTTTGTCGGCTAGCTATCGTCGATTAATTTTACATTCGTCCACGTGTGCCCGAGAAGGAGACACCCGGTTAATTCATTCCCGCAATTCGCGGCACGTCGGAAGGTCAAATCGATACGCCATCCGGTGTCAGCACGAACAGCACGGTCACCAGGTCTAACAAGTATCCATCCACCGGGCCCGAGTCCAAAAGCTCCGAAAGAAAGTCGAGCAGCCCCCTCACCGCTCCCACTGAAGCCGTCTCGCAGAGAACGCATTCGCGAGACCGTTTTTCCCGGCTTGTTGCGGTTAGGTCGCTCTGATCGAAAAGAAAAAAAAAAGAGTTCAAAGAGTGTTTCGATCAATAAAGATACCCTCGGCCCCTCCTGCATTCCTCCGCTCCTTCCCGCCCCCTCTGGGTTTCGCCTCCTTTAATTATCGCGAGAGATATACGCGC